GGGGAAGCTTCCAGCAGCTTCTCACTGAAGCTACCCCTGTAACACCCCCGCTACCAAAACCTTGCCACACAAACCCAATACAATGGCTGATATGAAAATGGTGATGAGGGTCTTGGAAACATCAGCCAAACTTGGGTGTGGGACTTTGATTTAGATCTCTCTTGCTAGGAAAGAAAAGACAGTTGACAAGGACCTTGAGCTTGATAGCCTAAATTTGAGCCTGTCCTTACAGCCTATAAAAAACACGTACCCAGGTGGTCACAGGATCTGTTCCATGGCCAGGTTTTGAGTTATGACAGATGTCTCTTAGCAGATGTCTGTCTGTCAAAAACAAATGGGATGATCATTTGGTGTCGTAAGAGGTTGTAAAGGAAAGTTAGGAATCTACAAAATGCCGTCACTGTGGTGGATGCTGGACTTTTTGTAGTTACTGATCTTACTCCATGTACTTGACAGATTGTGGCTGTGTCCATGGTATCTGTGACAACAGGCCTGGCAGCGGTGGTGTGTGTCAGTCCTGGTCCTGTAAGGAAGGCTATACCGGGAAATTCTGTGACAAGATGTCCGAGAACTGTGGCCCAAGCGGGCTGTCCCAGTACTGCCACCAGAATGCTGTCTGCAGCCTCAACGACACAGCAAGGTCAGTCTTTTGGCATGCACATTCGGGGGGCACAGTGTCATTGTATAGGGACACAGCGGCTCTGTGGCTGCCAGCCCTGTAATTGTGTATATATGTCTGCATACTTGTTGCACAGGACTGTTTGAGTAATGCAGCCAACCTGCTAGAAATCAAAGTCAGGTTCTTGCTTGCTTCAGAGGCTCAAAGTGCCTTTTTGCTCTCTGCTGGCTTTCAGAAGGGACTGCTCTATCTGTGTCCCTTTTGTGCTTGTACTTTTAAGGTGCATCTGCATGGATGGATACGAAGGTGACGGGTTTTCTTGCCAGCCCATCGACCTGTGCAGTCAGCCAGAACGAGGAGGCTGTTCACAGAATGTAAGTGGGGTCAGACTGTCAAAGCGTGGAGAAGCAGCTCCTATCAATCAGAGCAGGGATCCAGGACTCCTGGAACTGTTACGCATTTTGTGTGCTAACTTTCCCTGTCTTTAAGATGGGGTGGAGTAACCAGTACCTTGACACAGTCATTGTAAGAATGCCAATCATTTGGGTTGGTGCCAAAACGTGACACCCCAGGGAGAGTTTGGCTGGTTTGCACCAGATATTTTGGCAGCTACAGAGATCAGCTGTACTGATTTTTGGTTTGTAGTGATTTTCCCCTCAAGCTCTTCCAACGTGAGTTAGTTTCTCTGTTGCTGCGTTCAGGCTGTAGCTGAGCTGTCAGCTGCAACTCATATTTCTAGTAACCATCAACACTACATTATTATCCTTAGTAAAGAACTGTGGTGCTTTATGATGGAAATGACTGCCAAACAGTCAGACCTCATCATAATTTAGACCCCTCATTGAGAGGAACACATTGCGCCATATAGTAGGAAATAGGATAGCACTGAGTACAAAGTAGGTCTTTCCTGAGAGAGATCTGCCCTCCATCATTGATTCCATCCCGCATCTCCAGGCAGGAGATTGTGCTCCTCCTCTTCAGGGAATACTTCAGGGAATATTTCTTCTGTAATGGAAGAGCTTTACAGGATGATAGGGAATGCTCTGGGAATTCTGAGCCACCCTAGACACAAGTGTCTGCCTCTCTGAAAACACTAAATGTTTCTGGAATCAATTTATTATGAAGTTGTCCAGGACTTTTCTGGAGAAGATACTTCCATCCCTTCTCCCCCCACCCCCGGCAGTGCTGGAATCAGAATTGGTCATTCAGAAACTCTCCACAGTCTGACGAAGGAGATTTGTTGCTGTATTTGTACTGCACTCCCTCCCTTCTTCTGCTGAGTGTAATTCTTTTTCTCTCCCTTCTCCTGGAGGCCCTGTGCACCAGTACGGGCCCTGGCACCGCCACCTGCAAGTGCAACACTGGCTGGACTGGGGACGGGAAGGCCTGTGTGGCTATAGACAACTGCATGCTGGAGAGCAGAGGGAACTGTCACATCAATGCTGACTGCATTTATATCGGCCCTGGCCAGGTATGATCAATGCTAAGCAGTCTGATAGTGGACTTACAATTTCCTAAGCTGCTCTGAGATGGCCTGGGATCACCAGAGGTAGAAATTGGGCTGGTCAGCAGCAAAGCCTGCTTGTCTGCTGCCAGAAACACTGCAGCTAAAACCACACAGTGTGCTTGCATGAGGTGAGATGCGCTGATGAGTTTGAGGCTGCTGCGCTGCTCTGAAACTTTCATGCAGCAAAGACACTACACAGCAAAGACACTACACTCCATAATACAGCTCAGTATAAGCCATCAGTTGCTGTGTTCTCCTTGTTCCCAGATCACAGCATAGGCTCTGGGCAATGCTAAAATATACAGAAAAGCATGTGCAGCTGTTCAGATAGTCCATGGAGGGAGCTGGGCTGGCAGTCGGGCAACTTGAGATAGGAGGAAGGCATGCAGAAATGGCTTCTCAGGGTGCTGCTTCTCAAAGTGCTTCTCCCCACTGAGACAGGGGAGCATTGGACAATGTGCTGAAAAAAGGTGCCAAATCTTCCGCAGATGTTAGTGAGGTGAGATGTGCAAGTGTTCTCCTAGCTATCTTGAAAGCAGGAAGCTCTGAAATTAACCCCTCTTCTCTTTCTGCCATTGACTAACTCTGTGTCGTTCCCCGAAAAGCTGGAAACAAAGAAGGAAACCATCATCTTCAAGTGACCCTCCTACAGTCAAGCAGTGCAAGGGATCAATGCTCTTGAGTAACCAGACAGCGTGTGTGCCAAGATAGAGGATGATGCCCTGCTAAAGAAATACCTCCACATTTCCAGGTCTTGAGGGACCAGGAAGAAAACTTGGGAAAATATATTGAGAATAGGTTTTGCTGCTTTAGGCCTTTTTTGGGTAGCAAATGAGGACTCTCTGATAGGTCTGTAAAATTGAAATGTCTCTTTCTTGCAGAGCAAGTGTGTCTGCAAGAGGGGTTATGCTGGTGATGGCCACAACTGTGATGCAATCAACCCATGCCTCATGGACAACGGTGGCTGCCATGACTTGGTGAGTAGCTAAAGTGCTGTCCCAAGGCTGGCATGGCAGTTGAGGCTCCTCTGCTCCCTAACAGAGGTTTTTCAGCCACAGCATTGAGAGAATTGCAAGGATTTACGTTACATCATCTTCTTGGCATGTCACTGATGTGTTATAAAGGTTTGGTCTCTGATTTACCCAGGTGGATCCTCTGATTTTTGTGAGTTCACACAACCAAAGCCATCACCTAGGCTTTAATGCATGAGGAGGTATAAATTCAGTGCCACCATAAAGGCAATAGGAGGAAGGTGCTTCTGTGTGCTCTGCTAGCCCAGGCCATGGGAGGCCAGAATTCAATTCCTAGATAGGTACAACACTGCATAACCTGGTTTTGCTCTCTAATTTCTTCTTTCCTTGTATTTTCAGGCTACGTGTGTACCCCTTGGAGGAGGAGAGAGATCCTGCGCTTGCCCTCAAGGCTACATGGGGGATGGCATGACATGCTATGGGGACATTCTAAAAGTGAGTAAAAAATAAATGTCTGAGGTCTTCTTGAGATTGGAGAGAAATGGCTCTGCTCTTACTTTCGTTTTCTCTGTTACCTGAGTTTACTCCTTCTCCCAGTACCAGCCTGAGAGCACAGCACATGTGTCTGCCCAAGGCCACAGAGACACAACTGGTGCCAAGGTCAATGTGTTCATGAAACCATCAGCAATAATTTCAAAGCTGCTTCACCGCTGTCTGTCCTGTGCAATAAGTGATCTGGTTTTTTTGTTGTTTCGAAACTTTTCCAAGTCAGAGCTGCTAGGCCCATTTTCTGTCATTAGAAATATCAAAGGCCATTGTGGATTCAATCCCTGTCCCTGGTAAACATGAGCAGTTGCAGATGAGTTGAAAAGAGTTTGTTTGTTTAAGAATATATTTTTTTTAATGGCTGGAGTGTTTTTAGGAGTGCCCATCACTCCCCATGATACACAGTGCCTGTAATGGTTGTAAGGTGAGAGAGGAATGTCTAAGTCATTATTGCCAGATTTGATATTGCAAAGGGCTCCTTTCCCCCACCCTGAGTCCCCTAGCCCTGCAATGCCAGTGCTCAGCAGGGGTAACCCTTCTGTTGTTTCTATTTGGAAGGAGCTGGCCAGGAATTCCCACTTCGCAGGCTTCTATGACTGGCTTAAGGTAAGAACAGCCATGGGATGCCCACACAGGTAAGTTTGGTAGAAGTGACGTCTCTGCAAACACTGCTGCTACAGAAAGAGCAACTCCATTTATCTTTTTCATTAGAGAAAAACAAAACAACAGCAAAAGAGAAATCATTACAGAGCAGGTGTGTAGAAAAGCTCCGGAGTTTGTGATAGAGTGAGGGTTGTGAGTGTTTCTAGCACCAGAGGAAGCTGGGGCTGGGTTACACTTAATTTTCACGGTTGTATCATCTGTAACTCCTGGCCATCATAAAATAGCACAGAAGGGAAAGAAAAAGGGGCAGCTTTATAGTAGCTATTTTTCAGAAGAGCATGCTTTGAGAAGTTAGACTGTATGTTTGTTCCTCTTCATGTTACTGCTTCCCTGTCTCTGGTGTGGCAATAACAGAGACACTCTGCAGACTTGCAGCAAGTCTGTGGAAGCGTGCTATGACATATGGCATCTAATTGAGCTTTAGCTTACCCGTCCTGCTGCATACATTGTATGTGCTAGGAATAATCTTGGTCTCTCCCCTAAAACTGATGTTGAGGGTTCAGAAAGGATTTATTGGTATGATTGAATGGGTTTGAAGATTAATTGAAGTACAGAAGTAGGGCTTAAAGCAGTAGGTTTTCCCTTGGCAAATGGATGTTAGCTGTTTTGGCTAAACCACCCGCGGCATTCGTTGATTGCCAACAGCACTTACCTGCCATGCCCAGGAGGCCTGCTGTGCTGCTAAGCATATGCTGTCTTTCTACACATCCCTTTTATGCGACTGCAAGAGTGGGATGGCTGTTGGTTATATTTTGTGGTATAGATGTGGCAGTGGCATGTCTTATTTGTTCATTTTTGTGCTTTGGACAACAGAAATCTCTCTTCAGCATCCCAGCAGGAACCAATGTCACTGTGCTGGTGCCATCAGAGGCAGCTATCAAAAACTTGAGCAAGACTGAGAAAGATTTCTGGTTGACCCCCTACATGCTGCCATTTTTAGTCAGGTATGAGGAGACTCCTGCCTTTGCTTTACTATGCCAAACAACAATAACAAAGCTGTGAACTGGATTTCTGCTTGTACAAGACCAATAAAGAGTTATCTTGAGATAAATCTAGAAGCAAGATTAAATATCTAGCAGGCAAAGAATTTAGTAGGCATTTAAAATGTAACAGACCACAGGCCATGGGAAGTGGGTTTATTTTTCATGTATTTGCAGAGGGAGATTTTCCCTGTCATGCAGATGGCATCAGGACCAGTAATTCCCTCTATCATTTTCTCCCCATGCTTAACTACCTCATGTGAGAGACGTGAATGTTGGGTGGTATGGTCTTATCTCCCTGTTATTACAAACAGTGCCTAATCTTTTCTTTACCTGCCTTTGTTCCCTTCAGGGCCCACTTTCTTGAAGGTGTCTTCACTTCTGAAAAGCTCAAAAAATATGACAAGCCAGAATTGCCCACCCTCAACCCACAGACCAGATGGCAGATAAACACCAGGAGCGGCGTAAGGGTTTCTTACATAACGCACATGTACAAGTAGCAAATTAAACTGCTCAAGAGCTGCTGTATCCAGTGGGGAGCCTGGATGGGACACTGATGCCCTCAAACTCAGACATCTTTCAAAAATTGTACTCAGATCAATCACGTGCAACCTTGAACAAACAACATACTTGTTTTGAATTTGCTTGGCAATTTCTAAACCTTTTGCTTCTCCTTCTGATGCTTTTGCAGGTATTAACCATCCAGAATGCGAGTATAGTCGTCAGCGACATCCCTGCCAGCAATGGCATTATTCATGTCCTCAGTAAGGTACGTCAGTACGTGTGATACTGGGAAATGCTGCAGTTGTAGCAGCAGGTTTGTGTTGCAGCATCTGTGATCGGGCCAAGGAGGAATACATGTCTGGACAGTTAGGAAGGGATATAATGTCAAGAATATATTTGGTTATCACAAGGTCCTGACAGATGTTTCCTGTGCAGCAGTGTTTAATGTTTAAAATATTTGTCTCCAGGACAAGCGGGAGGCGAGTTCCTCTTCTCTTGGCTGACAGAAGAAGAGTTAAGGCTATTGCAGAATTGTGTAAAATGAGGCCTTTTCGAATTGCCTTTCTTGCAAGCAGGGCAGGAGTCTAGTGTGATTTCCCCCAGAGCCCCTTGCCCAACCTTGCTTATGAACTCACTTTTTCCACAGGTTTTGTTGCTGCCTTCAGGAGATATCCCACCAAGTCCTCCAGGTCTGCAGAAACAGCTTGAGACAGTTGCCTCATTCAGCACATTCAAGGAGTTGCTACAGGTAAGCAGCTGAGGTGAGCACTGTTGTGGTTGTCAGAACTGTGTTTTGAGCAAATGCCCACCTTACCTTGTACTGGGGGACCAAAATTTGGACTGCCTGGTGAGACAAGGGAGATCACCCGTTTCCTACCATTCATGGGAGATCTTCTCGGAAAGCTCTTTTGAGCAGCCAGAGAGTTATATACTTAGTTGGATCTCTATATGATTGGCATGTTATTACAGTGGAGGACAACCTGTCTACCGCAGGCGCTGTCATGCTTGTACAGGGCAGAGAAACCTAGAGGGCAAGGAAGACTTGTTCATAACTGAGAAGCTGCACTTATGTCAGCCCAGGAGGAGGAGCAAGCAATTAGATGTGTGTGACTGAGCAGAAGTTGTATATCCCATTTTCAAGCATTTCTTCTAGCGCTCTTGTAATTGATTTCATGTGTGGTCTGGTTTTTAGTAAGTACAACTGTAATAGCTAATGTTACTGCTTGGACATTTTTTAGCAATACCAGCTCATTGGAAAAATCGAGTCCTCTGAAAAATACACAGTTTTTGTTCCTGGAAATAATTCCATTGAGGAGTACTGCCATGCTGCCAATGTGACACAGTTGGTAAGCTCACTGCTTCCTTTCAGTTTGAGTATGTATTGTGGTAAGTGCAGGGGCATGTACACTGTCAGATCATAAACTTGAGTTCAGTGGATTTGAGCATGGAGAGGAGAAGCATATCTGATGCTAGAAGCTGGGAGAAATGCGGCAGAGAGAAATGAGATGTTTCCCTGGGGTGTTCCAATGGGATCCGAAAACAGCATTTGGACTCCAGATGCAAATTTCTGAGTAGATTTGTGTGTGGATAGATGGCATGACATGTTGCCCTTCCTGGCTGGCTGTGGCGTATTTGTGGCAATTTTTGACCTTTTGAAAGCATTTATGGCTTCATCCAGTAACAGGGTCATCGTGTGGTCAGTCATCTGTGATAGGGAGTTAGTAGGCTCTGTGGGCTTAATTAGCCATTACAGATGCTTAGGAACTCTTCTTATGCCATACCTCTGACTGAATTGTAGTCTAGGAAGTCAAGAGAGTCCTAACATTTGGTGGTTTTGTGTATTATTTAGGACAACGAGACAGTGCAGTACCACATTGTACTAGGAGAGAAGCTCTTGCCCACGGACTTGAGAAGTGGAATTCATAAGAACAGCATGTTAGGGCTCTCCTACTGGCTCATGTTTTATCAAAACAGCACCCAGGTAAGGAAGGAAGACTGTTCTGCCATTTGAAGATCTGGCTTGACCTATCACTTTCTAAGGCTGGTGGCTGGATACATCCATTTCTGTTTTGCACACCCTCACAAGTTTACTGTGACTGTCTGACAACTGTTACACAATCCATGCAAGTGGAGTTGAAGGTTATCATATCAGCCATTTTCTTCTCCTTTGCAGAAGTTTGTCAATAATATTCCTTTGGATGGAAAATTTCTTGAGACGAAGAATGGCATGCTGATCGGGGTTTCACAGGTCCTCCAGATACAGAAGAATCGTTGCACTGCCAATACCACCACCATACAAAAGGTAATGGTGATTACCGAGGAGCTGACCACCATTTCACAGGGTTTCTCCACCTGCTGAACCAAACTGATGAATAGGAGACAACCTACCTTGTCTCTTCCACATGGATGAGACAGTAGCTTGTGGTCTGACCCCAGATGAGCGTCATGTGAAATGGGACATCCTGGAGACTTGGCACCTCCTAGCCTCAGACTCTGTGCTTCTAATGCAGCAGATCTGCAGCTCTTGTGCAGATCACATTCAGTTCACTTGCTGGGGCTCCCTCCCAGTGCCAGCCGTGGGGCAGGCAGGTGCAGGGACTCACAGATACTCAGCTGTGGAAGGAGAATCCAGCCCAATTCTTGCATGGCATTGACCACAAGGCCCCTAGGAAATGCTGTGGTCTGCCTGGGAGTCATGGCCAAAGTCCAGGCCACATGTATCTTGTGGCTCTTGGCCATCTGAAGATTGCAGGGTCAGACTGAGGTATGCCTGCTTTGTTACAGATCAGAAAAAAAGTATCTGCAGCCTTGCATGAAGGAACTTCAGGCCTACTGAAAGCCCTATCCCAGCTTAGAATCTCAGGAAAGGTGTAGCGTGTGATCTCTTCTGGTTTGTTTTGTGGTACAGCCTCTGGAGTGCAGAAGTAAGACCTTGTGTACACCACTGGAGTACAGGAATAAGACCTTGTGTGAAGCCTTTGATAGCAGCCAGGACCTGAGGATCATGCATCACGATTTTTCGTCTTTTGGTGTTTTAAGCCACAGAGATAAATACATCTTTGTCTTTGTCCCAGCCAGCAGCCTGTACAGCACCATTTGTAATCAAGATTAGTGTCTTGGTGTGACGTTGGTAGAGGGCACACATGTGACTTGTCCTGTTCTCTGTGCCCTAGTCAAGATGCGGCAAGTGTGAGAAGGGGATCAAGTGTCCTCCTGGATCAGTTCTTGTGGTGAGTCTTTCGTTCATGTGACATCTCACAGACTGTTTGCAGATACTGCTTTGATGTCCTTTTACTGCTCTACAGGTGTCATCTCAATACCTGAAAAAATGTGCCCTTGAGTCCTCTGTGGCTCATTCATTAGCAAGGTTTGTAAGAGGAAGCAGAAACCAAGGGAGGCTTACACAGGAAAAACACAAACATAAACCATGAGGCTCCTTACAGAGCTGGCACCAGGCTTTGCCTGAATTTCGGGAGAACTTTAGAGCATGCAGTGTGAGGAGTTTCCCCCCTTAGCAGGGAAGAAGTGATGTCTTTTTTTCATCTTTTACTCTTTTGCCATTATCATCAAGGAAAGCCTGTTTAGGGGTGCCAATAGCAATTTCCCAGCCTGGACCATTGATTTGTTCACACGGATGGGCTGGTTAGGCCTGCAGCTTGTTTGTGAGTGAGTGACGAACGTTTCCGGAGAGGAAAACGGCTAAACATTTCATCTGCATGCTGGCTATGAAGTGCCTAGCAGCCACATCTGGCTTCTAAGGCTTCATTACTTTATGCCAAAAATTTTCCAGTTGCTTTTTCCCAGTATTCATACTGACATGTATGCCATGGATTTGGCAGGTAACAAAATAGACTCTGTGTGGTGACCTCACGTCTAGAGATGCCTTATTGTTCTCAGCTCTGGATAGTCCAAATTTTTAGGGCTGTTCCTGTAGGATAAAAAGCATTATTCCTCTGTTAGGCAAGAACGCTGCCATATGCGCCAAAATGTACAATGTTTGTCTAAATATTGTAATATCTTCTATCTGTATCTGTGTTAATCATATCTGCAGGAATTGCCAGGAAGCAAGAATCTCGCTCGCTGTGAATTACGCTCTGCAGATATGGGAATACTTGGCTGCCATTTCACCTGTGCAAAAGTTTCTCTAGTAAGAAAAATATTTGCCTTGCATTCATTCTGACAAAAGCAAGATGGGTATTAGAAATACAGCCATGGAAATACAGCCTGTGCTGAGGTCCTGGCTGCGTTTGTGTCATTGTGTAGCTGAGACTGGGCTTGTCTGGCAGTCGCTCTCCATCCTGGAGATGGAGGGCACTGGAGAAAAAACTAACCTGCGGAAATGTCTGCACAGTGATGGATTGTGGTCTGCTGTTTTGGTATTGTTGCTTTGGGTTTTGTCCTGAAGAGGAAGAGAAGGAGTTGAACATTTGTAGTCTGGTTTCCTAAGGAAATGAGGCATGAATGATGGTATTTTGCTTGTGCATGTGCCTTCCCAAATAACTGATGACTAATTGGAGCTGAACCAAAGGGAGGAGCAGAAGGTCTCGCAGTTATTATGGCTCCTACCAGTTTTGTGAAAATGCATGGTTGGGAAAAACATTTGAAGAGGAAATGGTAAAAGAAAGACTTGTGTGAATTTGAGCTCTTATAGGTATTGAAGCATCTCCCTGGAAAGTTTAGTGGGAATGGGAGATTGAGGAGAAAGGAGAGCGTGAGTTGGACATACATACTCGCATGCAGAGCTTCAGTCAGCAATTGTACCTCACTGGGCACTTCTGCATCCCTTCATTAGACGACGTTTCTCTTCATCTGTACTGTCCAACTTGGTCCCATCATGGTTTCCTCCCTCCATGGGTAGATGCAGAAAGAAGTGAAAGCAGTTAAATCAGGCTTCTGAACCAAATCACCTTGTGGCAGAGCCTCTCTCTGACCAACAGAGTATCTTACTGGTGGGACACACTAGGGACACAGGCAGGAGATAGGCTGGGTGGGCGCAGGACTGAACATTTGCATTGCTCGCCAAATGGCCAGTGTTGCTCAAAGGCAGTGTGGACCTTTACATGAAGTTCTGGGCAACAGAGCACCCCATTTTAAGGGGTTCACTCTGTCCTACCTGCACACATCTGGCCCTTTCATGCGTTGTCAGGAATTATGGCTATTGCATAGTTAAAGGAACAGAGTAGCTTCCACAATAAAGCTGTACCTTGTCTATGCCGCACAAGACAGCTTACCCCAACTTGTTCTTGTTGTTCTCCAGAGGTCTGTCTGCTGCCCTGGCTACTACGGACACATGTGCGATATGTGCCCAGGAAAGCCAGGACAGTGGTGCTCTGGGAACGGGGAATGCCAGGACGGCATCGAGGGCAGTGGAGAGTGCCGATGCCTGGAGGGTTTCCACGGCACTGCCTGTGAAATGTGTGAAGTGGGCCGATATGGAGCTGACTGCAAATCAGGTGACACTGATGGCTATTGCAGCTTGTTGCTACCATCCTGCTTGCAAGGGGAGAAAGTGGCCACGTCTCAGCTCTCGGGAGGGGTCGTGGGAGGGAAGTAATGTCCCAAGACCTCTGAGACAGGGAAACAGCTGGCAGGCCACTGAGAGAAGGACAGCGGGAGTGAGCACTTGTGGTCAGCCAGAGTGGCCCCATTTTTCATCCTCAAACCAAGGCATGACTGACTGTGCTATGCTGCTGATCTTGCCGCTACCCAAACTACAGAAAGTAGAGGTGGGTGGTCTATTCCTGGGTTTTTTGGCCCGGTAGTGAGGGAACAAGAGCTGATACTCCTGTGACATTTTCTTTATGGCAGTTTGATGCGTTGGATTAGGAACAGAGCAGCCAGCGAAATGGCAGCAAGACTCTGCTCGTGAGACCTGGCTGGTTTGACAGTGACGAGTGTTTGTATTTCCCCTGCAGAATGTGCCTGCGACAACGGCATATGTAACGACGGACTGGAAGGGGACGGGAGCTGCGAGTGTTTCCCAGGGTGGAAGGGCCCTACCTGCCAAGAAAGTACGTGAGTGTGAAGGGGCCTATGGTGTAATATTGCCTTTTTGGCAGAGAAATCCATGTGATCCTCTTCAGTTGCCAGAGCAATTCTGTGTTAGCTGAGGAAGGTGACCACAGTCGCATGTACTTTGCATCCCCCCGAAAGCTTATCAGACTGTGCTAGCTCATTCCTGCACATAAGCTGCATATGCGGTGTGACTTCCCCAACAGCACATGAGCTCTCGAGTTATTTGAGTGAAATTCATGTAGAGAAAAGCATAACCCCTCCTTCCATCTCTGCTGAGATTTGAGGCACCTCAGGAACAGCCCCTTGCCCTGGGAGAGAGAGATGGAAGCTCCCAGCCAGATTGGGTTGACCACGACTCCTGTTACTTGCCTAAGAAGGTGGCAGGGCTTGTTTTGAAGCTTCTGAAGGGCCCCGATATGTCTGCTGAGTTGCTTTTTCTGCTTACAGATGCATTGATTTAGGTGAGCTCAGGCCATGGTCTGCAGTTCTCAATAAATCTGTCATTGTATGTCAAAGTAATATGTTGGAGATGCTTGTTCCTGGGATTTGGGATTATGATTACCATTGGGGTGGGGAGGAACCTGAGCTTCTAAATACTTTGGGATATTAACGGTTTGCACACAAAGATTGATTTTGTAGTGAAGTCAAATGTTTTGGGGGCATTTAGGAATGGAAAAGGAGTGGAGCTGTCCTATCTAGTGTAAATGTAAAGCATGAAAAAAGTTCATCTTTTTGCTTCGAAAGAGGCAAAGCCAAATGGCCCTGTATGTCTGGATTAACAAGGTTTTAGTCCTTGTTTAATTCCTAGCAGTGTGGAGGCCATGCAGATGGGATCAAATTGAACCATTAGCTCAGACAGAGAACATCGAATTCACTCCATTGCAAAGTGCCAAAACATAAATCCCATGACATTTTCCTGCTGCCACGTAGGACAGGAGAGTTAGCATAACTGCTAGTGTGTCCCATCATCAGTCAGGGCACCACAAGTGTGGCAGTGAGGCTGTTTGCAGGGTCCTTTACTCTAGATGGCAGAAATGGCCCCAGCAAGTGCTAAATTGAAAATGCAAAGTCACATTTGTGTTTTCTCTTGCAGGAATTGAGATTGACTTATGCAATAACACTTGCCATCAAATGGCCAAGTAAGTAGAGACAAGGGGCTGGGTCATTCTGAGAAAGCCGTGTGAGTTTGTATGTGTTTTACATAGAGGTGATTCTGTGTTTAGGGCTTCGCAGAGGGCTGGGAGAAGGTGCCTACTCATTAAAGATGCATAAATGTCAGTTCCATTCTGGGAACTCTCTTTGGTGCTAAGCTGCATCCCGTTTCCCCAAGGATTTTGTCTCTCTGAGCATAAATTCTTTCCAAGTTCCTTCTGCATGTGTGGATGGGAGAAAGCAGATACTCCACGGTACTCCAAGTCTGGCCTTATTCATGGAGCAAATCAACCACCCATTTACAAGCCCTTTCTGCCTCGCCTGCCCCCACCAAGGAATTAAATAGGCTGATGGGCTGCGATGACTCCCTCTTGCTGCCTTCTCCATCCCTGATCTAGTCTCCTATTTTGCGGTACCATGACCCAGCCATCTGCATTGTACTGTGCAGAAGCACATGAGCATGGTGAAGGTGCACTGTGCAAGGTGTGAAGCCTGTGCCTGGATGCCAGCTCCCTGGCCAGCGTGACTTGAATATTGTGCTGTAAAGAAATACACAGCAACTTAAGGCATATTCCTCCTGTGGTCATTGTGGTCTCTAACTTGCATATGCCAGACTTGGATAGTGTTTCCCAGGGGCTGAGTAAATCAGGAGGTGTCGTCAGTGATTCTTTACCCCTTTCTTGTTTCAGCTGCCTCAATAGTTCCGCAGATTCCCCACCTACGTGCTTCTGCTCTGCTGGATACACAGGGAATGGGACCCATTGCACAGGTATGTCCAGCAAGTGTGGGCAAGATTCAAGGCTTGCAAACACCTGTTGAAGCTATGCAAAGACAAGGGGTTTGTTTGTGAAATAAATGGCATGATGTTGCCAGGGGAAAGATCATTCAAATCCTTTTTGTCTCAGCCATCCGCCATGAACTCTGCCATGCTCTGGTAGAGATGTTTTCCAGTCCAGAGCTTTACGCAGGATGCTCTTGATATTTATAGAGCCTGCAAGAGAGGGATAAAAAGGCAGGCAAGTGTAGCAGGGCAGTTCTTATTGTTTGTGGACAGAGATGCACATGAATGGGTCGTATTAGTTCTGATACAAAGATACAACAATTTCGGCCATGAATCCCTGGAATATGGGTGCTTCAATTCCCTAGAATTTTGTGCTCCTCCTATTTGCTGGCCATGCCAAAATCAGGTAGAAGCAGTGCAGCAGTTGTGGCAAAATGAGGTAGGATTTTGGGATACTGCTGTAGAGCTACATACAAACACAGTTTATGTGAAAAGCAAACAGACAAGAAAAAGAACTCAGAGTGATAAAATCGTAACAGTCATAATACTGGTAGACATCACAGTTTCTTTTCAGTATTGCCCTTGTTTGAAAATGGGGGGGGGGGTAAGCAAAAAAATAATTTACGTCATGCAGGAAAATATTTTTTTCTCATCTAATCATTAGTCCTCAGTGAGCAAATGTTGTGATGGAAAGACTTCTTAGTCCAATTTGCAGTTACTTAAGCTCAGCATGACTTTTGGACTGGCCTCTCTCAGATGTGGATGAGGCCCCATGCCTTTAAAGGACCTACAGTTTCATCGAGAAACAAAGGGATTTTAATAAGATGTTGTGATTTTTGTTAAGATAGGTGATTATTCTGGCACAGTTCATCTTTCCTAAATGCTCTGAGCTGATTCTGCTTCTCTTGTTTGGGGTCACAGAAATAGATCCGTGCACTATCGATCATGGCGGCTGCTCCATACACGCTGTGTGTACTAAAGTGTCTCCAGGAGAGAGAACCTGTGTTTGTAAGGAAGGCTATGCTGGAGATGGGACACTCTGCATGGGTGAGTGCTCAGTGCATGTTTTGGTGATAGTGGTGAGGCGTCATCCGTGCAAAGGGGAATTTCAGACTAAAAGCATTAAAATTTCAAGTTAAAGTGTTGAATAACTGAATTGTCCTTTCACTTTGTTCATGCAGTGATTATTTCAAAGCAAGTAATTGCTGGTTGATCTTGATTCAACTGTCGTTCTGGTTTTTGTTGAGGTGTATGCACACATACCTGTAGCTATGTGCCCAGCATTCTCCCAGGTCATGTTTAGTGAAGTGGTCATCACTGTCCCATCACAGTGCCACCCAAAACTGGGCAGAGAGCCCACACTGCCCTTGGCACCTGTCTCGCTGGATGGCCTCAGACCAGTGTTTTGGTCTCAAACCAAAAGAGCCCTGAGAGGTTTCTTGCCCTGATGCCTGTCACGGAGAGATCCAGAGACAGAGGGCGAGGGCAGTCTCCCACAGTGGTGCTCTGAAATGAAGATGGAGCTGTGGGAGAGTCCAGTCCTCTCATATCCTTTAAAGCACACCCAGGCAGGCGTGGGATTTTCTGTGGGCAGATTTATTACAACTGAGACCCACATGTGGCAGTAGAACTTGCAGTTGTACCCTTTTCCTTTGCTATCACAAGTCACTTTTCCACCAAAATGTTTCCCAAGCTGGGAAGGTCCTCTCTGTTGCTTTCCCAGTACCTCTTTGGGTCGCTAATTCCCAGCTGCCTTGAGCAGCCCTCAGCAATAATGTGGCCTTATTGTTTTGCTGCAGAAATTGATCTCTGTCTGGAAAGCAACGGGGGCTGTCACACCAACGCAGAGTGCATTAAAACAGGCCCAAGGAAGGTGAGTATGTGAGGTGGATGTCAGGGCAACGTTATTATGGAGGTTGTCGCAGCTGTGTAATTTTCTTAGAGACAATCCTTTCCATTGCAATGCGCTGCCTCATGTTTATTACTTTCCACATAGAAAAGTTGCCTGGGAAGGGCATGAAAAGATTGCTATTTCCTTGAAAGCAGATGCCTTCTGTTGGTTAGAGGCTGGACGCAGTCCCAGGTTATGTCTGTTGTTGACACAAGCATGGTTATTCATGAATAGCAATGAGTGCTATACCACAGACTTTCCACCCAGCTCAGCCGTTGTGTATTTTCTTTATTGGGTCCAGGTTTCAGACAGAGCATCTGTTCTCCCTCCAGGTTGCCTGCAACTGTCTTCCCGGTTACAGTGGGAATGGTGTGAGCCAGTGCAACCCCATCAACTTGTGTGAACAGGTACGTCTGCATTTTGCTGTTACCAGAGGTGAAGGCCACAGCCTTGAAGTGTTCCTTTCTCCCAACAGTTAACAGCAAGAACAGGGTTAGCCTGCTTGTTTAGAGCTGGCTGTGTTGCCTTTTCACATACCGAAGGGATTTCCTGGTGTGTTTGGTTTCCATTGCCTCTCACAGTGACCTGCGAGTATGTGGGCCAGCTGGCACTCCCTCTTGTGGGAGAAACAGTGTAGAAACAGTGACATAGGGTTGGAGGCATCTGGGTTTCTTTCTCTACATCCATTTTGTGTGGGACATGCTCAAAAGCTTAAGAGTAATCTGTGGTCACGGCATCGCTGCCATGTCAAAATGTCTCTCTGCATCATGGCTTTTGTCATCACTCTGGGTTCTGAAGTAAGGTGCGAAAGTCGTGTTTCATGGGAGGATTTGGTGCTGAAAAGCCCTTGAGGATTTGGGTGAGGTTTATTCTAAGGCACTAGGCAGATGGGCTGGATGTAGTTAACAGCTCCTGCATGCAAGTGGCCATTCAAGCTGTTGGTGACGCCCCTCCATGCAAGCCTTTTGCTTTTCTTGCTAGAACAACGGAGGCTGTAGTCCATTTGGGCTCTGCAAGTACACGGGCCCTGGCACTCGAAACTGCTCCTGCTCTTGGAACAGTATTGGAGATGGCTTCACCTGCCATAGCAAAGTGTATCAGGTGAGAAGCATGCGCAGCATCTTTCTTTTGTGTTCAGGCCCCTGCCCTGCAGCAAACAGCTCCCTCCCCTCCAAGCGTAAGCTGCAGGTGAGCAGATCTGTAGTGTCATATTGACACTTGTGTGGTGTAGGAGTGAAGACAGGTGCTTTGAGGCAAACTATCCGTAAATTGTAGGTGTATTTGGTGTGCCAGCTGTGGGAGACAATCACAGTAAAGTGACTGCTCCAAAGGGAGTCATGATGTTGTCCTGGTTTCAGCTGGGATGTAGTTAACTGTCTTCCTAGTAGCTGGTACAGTGCTATGTTTTGAGTTCAGTATGTGAAGAATGTTGATAACACTGATGTTTTCAGTTGTTGCTCAGTAGTGTTTAGACTACAGTCAAGGATTTTTCAGCTTCTCATGCCCAGCCAGGGCACCTGACCCAAACTGGCCAACAGTGTATTCCATACCATGTGACGTCCCATCTAGTTTAGGAACTGGGAAGTTGGGGGCAGGGTTTTTCGCTGCTCAGGGACTGGCTGGGTGTCGGTCGGCGGGTGGTGAGCAATTGCCCTGCACATCATTTGTACATTTCAATCCTTTTATTACTACTGTTGTCATTTTATTAGTGTTATCATTATCATTATTAGTCTCTTCTTTTCTGTTCTATTAAATCATTCTTATCTCAACCCAGGAGTTTTACTTCTTTTCCTGATTTTCTCCCCCATCCCACTGGATGGGGGGGAGTGAGTGAGCGGCTGCGTGGTGCTTAGTTGCTGGCTGGGGGTAAACCACGACAGATGTGAAAACTGCTGGTCTGTCAGCAACGTTGGCCATATCTCCAGGGTGCTGTTTTCTTAATGTTATAAGCAAATGGGAGTAATTTATTTTTTTTTTCCCCAAGGGAACCCACTTCTCCTAGTCTGTGGGATCAGGGCAGCTGTACCCTGTGGCCATGCCAGGACTTGGGATCCAGTCTGGAGGGCAGCAATCTATCTCTGGCTCTGTTGCCAATACAGCAGCTGTCCTTGGGCAAACTGGTGACCTTTTCTGGTAGTGGCAAATAAAAGCTGTCATCCCCACAGCAGAGCCAGGAGAAAAGAGATGGACTCAGTTCTGTGCTTCTGCTCTTACTGGAAGTTAGTGTGGTAAGGAGAGGGAGTTTGCCCTGCCAAGGCTGTGTCTGCCACTCTGGACAGCATCCCAGAACTGGTAGTGGCAGCACAGGAAGGTTAAAGTGGAGAGATTGTGAAGCACTTGAGGTGTCCCGTGAGCACAGGGGCAGTTAAACCTATGACACAGCTGCTGCAGAAGCAGCCAGCTTTCATCTCTCTGTCTGCTTCATCCTGCAGCATCCTTGATGTAAATGGTCCAGGCAGAAGTCACTGCCTGCTTTGTAACCTCCACACCTTCCATGCCCAACAGTGCTGGGAAGGGAGGGAGGGAAAGATCACTATGGTGTGTCAGGAGAACCAGTGTCTCATTGGGGTGGGAGAATGACCTGGAGTGGAAGCACAGGTCACCATGCTGACTGGTAAGGAACAAGTGGAAGGGACTTTGCTAACACCAGCTGTTTCTCTTTGTTTAAGGAGCTTGGAAGGATCGAAGACGCATCTGTGTTCTTTAAGATGATACTGGTTGGTAACAAACAGCTTGTCTCTGTGTCGTAAATCCCACTTAGGGTTTTCTGCAAAGGGTCTTGCTAACTGGAACTATGTTTTCTGTTTCCCTTCCCACAAATGCTCTTCTACCACAGGCAGAAAACATCAAGGAGCTCAACGGGGCAGGGCCTTTCACTGTCTTCGTCCCACGGGCAGATTTCATAGGCAACACCACAACGGTAAGTGTCCTCCCATCCCAAGCACTGTCAGGTGTTTGGCAAGCTCCAGTTGTGGCAACGTCCCCTCTGGGGCTGTTCTGTCCAGTAAATTGAAGCAAAGGGGCTGCACTGCAAAGGGTTAAAGGCATCCCCCATTCTCCATCAGTGTAAGAGCAGAGGTTTGGAGGTGGACTCACTGCAGAGACAGTCTGGGCAGGGGTGGACATGGCTCCTGTTGTAAGGAGACCCTTACTGGAGACTCTGTCTCACGGTCCTCAGAGGCACTGTGCCAAATCAGTGATGCGTGGTGACTTTCGTTGCCCTTGGCTGTTAGGGGCTGGTAACACCAAGGCTTCAAGGCATCTGTGACAAAGACTTCTTATTCCTTCTCTGTGCCCCAGGCCCTGCCATTCCACTTCCATTAGCCCCTTCCTTCTAGTCCCAACAGTGGGATGTTTGGGGCAAGTGGAGACCTGAGGGAGGAGAGATCCTTATTCATGGCTCTGTGAACCAGGTTCTTAACCAACAGCTTTTTGGTGTCAGCATAATGGACTATCTTAATACCATCACTGACAAGTCCTGTTGTGCAGCTTCACATCGCTAGTCCCAACAGTTTTCTTATGGGCCCCCCATACACCCAATAAAGGAACAATTCCCAGCAACTGCATATCCCAGGTGTCACTTCCTCAAGGCCTGTGTGGTCATTTGTCCTCCATCAAGGGACCTGAATGCTGGTTTTGCCAAACTGGTTGAAATTTTCCAAAGCTCTCAAATGGTTCTGTGCATTTACTGCATTTTGGGGGGACTGGCTTTCCTGCAGGGATGGGTCAGAGGGGGCTTGGGCAATCCAAGTCTCCCTCATTGGGTCTGGGGGCTTCGCCTGCAAGGAGAAGTACCCCAATGTGACCTCATTCTTGTTTTCCGTCTGTAGTTTGAGGAGTGGAGGAGCAGAGGTCTCCTCCGGGACCTGCTTCGCTACCATATGGTGGGTTGCCAGAAACTGCTGTCCAGTGACCTGGAAGCCCAGGAGTCCCTTACGTCTTTATCTGGTCACAAAATAAAGATCACGGCGAAAGAGGTAGTTCTCTGCCACAGTTCCCTTCCCTGTCCCACTTGTCAGGATGTCACTTCTGCTGTCATTTGAAGGCCACTGTGGCTGTGGCAAGTGACTTGCCTAGGCCCGCAGACGGCTCATAGGGCGGTGCCGTGGATGTGAATACCTCATCGCATCCCTTCTCTCTCAGAATAGCATCTATCTCAATGAGGAAGCCAAAGTGGTCGTGAGTGACATCATCGGCGTGAACGGTGTCATTCATTTTATCAACAAGATCCTCATTCCAAGTGACCTGGTGGACCGTAACGTTTCCTTAAAGATCTCACGGGTAAGGCTGAAGCAATGACTGTGCCCTGATAAGCCCTCAGCCCAAGGCCACGCGGGGTGCTCTTCCTCCCTGTTCCTAGCTGTGTAGGGCTTGTCTGAGGGCACAGATTTGGCTTGTGAAGGTGACCGCATTTGTGGCATCGCCATATTTGGGACAGAGGGAGCCTTATCCATCACTAGTGAACAAGAGTACTGGATGTAGGTAGGGGGATCACGTCCCATGCCAACCATCACACTCCTTTCCTAGTGCAAAGTAGATTGCAGCATTAGATTGCCAATGTCTCTCTGCTACTCCTCAAACAAGCACTAGGAGCTTATAGATCCTGTGTTTTACAGAAGATAACATTTTCTGTACAGCACAACAGAGTGCTGAAATTCATCCCAGCTCTTGCCATAGCGGTGTCTACCCAGTATGAATCAGAAAAGTGGCAGCTGCTGAATGCCAGCGCTCGCCAGGCCAAATCCATCGGTGTGATGATGACAGAGAGAAACTTGTGTTTAGCTACTGTAGTTGTTAACTGTCTGGTTTCTCCCCTGCATTGCTGCTCCAAGTCCTGCAGGGGGACCTCTTAGTGACAGTTGTTTGCTTTCTTCCCTCTGCAGCAAAATATCACGCAAGTGGCAGAGGCCTTTGGGTACACCATTTATAGCAAGCTGCTGCAGGTGAGCGACCTGACCCCTGCTGCTCTGTGGGGAGGTGGTGTGTACATGTGCACGTTTACTTTTGGCTTGTGGCTTTTTCTTTGTATCCCGTCTTATCTCGGACAGGACGCAGAGCTGCTGCCGCTGGTTAGTGACCCCCGGCATAGACCCTTCACCATGCTGTGGCCCACAGATGCTGCGTTTAACGCCCTCTCAGAGAAAAGGCAGAAGTGGCTGTACCGCAGAGAGCATCGGGACGTGCTGGCCTCCTACCTCAAAGCACACATGATCAGGGACACAAAGGTAAAAGTGACAACAAACAGGGTTATACCTCCTGAGGCCACATGTGGTGCCACCTCCTGCCTATGGTTACGACAGAGCGACCTTACCAAATATTTTGCTGCTGTAGAACATACAGCATATTGGTTGTCTTGAGAAGACCCAAAGCTGTTTGAGCATTTGAGGCAACTACCGCTTCATCATGAACCTCTGGTGCAGCATGGCTGAGCTGAAACCTTCTGACATCAGCTTCTTGGAGAGGCCACATCACCGCCAGAGTGTCATCACAAGGCTCATAAACAGGCTTTTGTCTATAGGGGTGGTGAACAAGGGAAGAGTCCAGCTGAGCAAAACCAGGGCCTGCTCACACATGCTGGTGTCTCACTAGTGGTTCAGGAATCTGGGACTAACCCAGCATAGTTAACACCATTCCACCCACACCGGCTTCACGTGCTGCCACATCACACTCCCTCACAGTGTGGCTGCTGACCCCTGTCCTCACCAGACAGCATCCCGTTAGAAGTATGAACTGCCGGTTTTGCCTGTCTCTCCCTTCACATATTTCTTTTTCCTCTCTTAGATTGTTGCTGGTAATGTGCCCCAAGTTGAATCCATACGGACCATGCACGGCTCCATTGTCTCATTCAGCTGCAGCAAAACCCACGTGGTGAGTGACAGCAATGCTGGGCTCAACTTTCCACTGAGCAAGTGTCCCTGGGCATAGCCACGGGGCAACTGATGCTCCATGTTTGTCACCAGCAGAAAGTGAACACAGAGTTGGGGTGCTTGCAGGCTGAGACACCCCATTCCCCTGGCTACAGCTGAGCCTGTAGAGAGGCTCCAGACTCTGTGGACAGCGGGGAGGGAAGCGTGGAGGCATGTGGTACCTGCACATGCACTTCACGATGACCAGGTTGCAAAGCCAACCACATGCTGCCATGACCTTTACAGGGCACGTGTTGCATGGATAGAGGCTATTTCTAGATGGCCATGAAAAGTGGCAATCAGGAAAGGTGGTCAAGGGCATGAGCACGGAGATTTTTGAGAGTTTTTGGGGTGGTCGAGAAGTTGTGGCAGCCAAAAAGGGCAATTTTTGGGTGGTGCAGCCAGGATGTAGGGTGTGCCAGGATCACAAGTTGCTTTCTTCCTCTGGTAGGGGGAGCTGCTGGTGGGCAACAGCGATGCCATCATCATCCAGAGGCACATGGAATTCAATGGGGGCATTGCTTATGGCATCAATAGGCTGTTGGAGCCACCGGATCTGGGATCTCGGTGTGATGAGTTCAGCTTTGTTGAGCTGCAGGTGAGCACTTGCTATGAGGCCAGTGAGGATCTGTGCCAGCTGTTGAGCCCCATGCCTGGGAAGAGGGATGTCAGGAGGGCTTGCTGCTTTTCCTCGGCAAAGCTGCGAGCAGCCGAGAGAGGCAGAAGCACATATTGAGTTGTTGTGAGGTTTCTTTCTCCCCTCCACAGGGATCTACAGAGAGCTGCGGACTCTGTGGCTTTGAGCCACCCTGCCCTGCTGGCTCCGTTCAACGGGTAAAGCTCACAGCTTTGTCACCAAGGAGGCCTGTTATGGGGCTGATGACAATACCCACATGCCCCTCGTGTTTTAGCAGCAAAATGAAGGCACACCTGCACGTGACGAGTCCCTTGACACGGTCACATTGTCCATGCCTGGCCCCAAGTCTCGTGGTCCTGTAGGGCAGGAGCTGGTCTGGGCAACATGGGGTCAGGGTCTCCACTGGTCTTTGCTTAGTCAATCCGTATATGGGTGACAGCGGCTGCAGTGGTCCCTGCAGCAGCACTGGGGGCTTCCCTGGGTGATTTATAGCAAAAGAGCTTGGCCTGGCTGCTGAAGATGGACCAGGAGTCAGGTGGTGAGCAGTCTTGGGGGGCAGTGGTTGTACCCCACTCTCACTGCATCGCCCGTTGTCTCTCTCTGCCGGGCTTCTGGCATGTCCCTGAGGTACATCTGTAGCTCCTCTGCCACCAGCCCCATCACAAGTTAGGAAGCCTCTGTTACTTCTCATAAAACTGAATGAGTGGCAGAAGAAAAGTCAAGGTGAGACGTCAGTGACCAATGTGGCAAACTCTGTGTTTTGCCTGTTTCCTCACAGGGGGAAACCAGGCGCTGCTACTATTACGGAAACCACCTGTTGAGAAACACTTTTCTGTTTCACCGCAACTCTCTGTTGCGGCCATCCTGGCCACCCTCCCCGTGGGACCCCTTCAGAAGACACTTCTCTTCCAGGGGGCCTCTGAAACGAGGCTGCAAGAGGAGCTGTGTTTCCACCCAGTGGGTCCCTCAGTGCTGTGCGAACCACTATGGCCGTGACTGTCAGGGTAAGGAGCCGCGCGACCCTTTCCCACCCCGGCCCTTTCTCTTGTGGGAAGACGGCATTAGTGGTTCAGCGCAGACGTCTGGCGTCCATGAACGTGCTTCCCTGGACAAGGGTGGGCAAAACCTCAGGCAGGGAGCTACAGTCTGTAGAGGCTGCAGGGGATGATCCCCTGGGAGTGTGCGTGTATGGTATTGTAACAGGGAATTCTCTTTCCTTGGAGAACCCTTTGTCCCCATGGAGAGCCCTGGGCACAGGGCTGCTGGGGGTGGCTGTCAGACATGGCACTCGCCCCTAGATGTTGCCGATGCTCAACCATTCCCTGGCATCTGCCCTCTGCGCTTTGTGCATGGGCAGCTTTTGTGTTCTTGGATGAGTCTCCTGCCAGGTTAGTGTGGGGCAGGCCAGCACAGCCTCAGCATATTGCAGCAGAGGGTCTTCCCAGGCTGGAAGCTATGCCAAATTTGTCCCTCTTGCCCCTGGTTCCTAAGGCTTATTGTCATGGGATGTCCCCAGCACTCACTCCTCAGACTGCCAAGCAGCCTCTGTGGTCCGAGCACCCCATAAGTGGCAGCTCACGTGGCACCTGGTGTGCTGGCTTTGCATGGGGCAACGGGTGGCTTCCCTCCAGCGCAGGGTCACTTTGTCACTGTAGCCTCACTAAGGTGCCCCATTTGCAGCATGCCCGGGAGGGCTGGAGGCACCGTGCGGTAACCGTGGTACCTGCGACGACAAAATCAGTGGCTCGGGGAGATGCAACTGCAGCCAGGCTTACATTGGGACCAGCTGTGAGCTGTGTGCGCCGGGCAGATACGGGCCAGACTGCCGAGGTAAGGGGGAAGCTGTGGGGTGGCAGCAATGCAGAGGGTTTGTGCAGAGGTGGCTGTGGCACATGGTGCTACTTGGAGAGGAGGTAGGTGCTGGGCAGCCTACGGCACGGGAGTCAGCGCTGCCACGTTCGCACCAGTCCCGACAATACTCGGGTTAGACTTCTGGGGCTGAGGACATCCCTCCCTGGGCTCTTGGCCGGGCAGCCGTTAATCCACCTATAGTTTGAGAAGGCTGGGTGGCATGTGCCAGGAGCTGTGCTGAAGCTGCGGGGTCAAAGACCCCTTCTCGTTTGTCAAGCACAGCTGAGAGCCCCAGTCTAGCAGAAAGTATTAAGGTGTATTTTTGAGCTGGGGTACAAATCCGTAAGTAAGTTGTGATGAACCCTGTACAGAAGGAGCATCCTCTTGGGACATGATCAGCAGGGACCTGTGCCCCTGTGAGGCAAAGGGAAGGAAAAGGGAGTCCCCCATCCTCCCATCCCAAGCTCGGCCTTACAGGGTCTCCAGGAATGTTTTTGATGGCTGTATGTTTGCAGGGACTCAGAGAATCTCTAGAAATGCCCGGGGAGGGGAATGATGGGGGTTTGTGGGTGCAGAGAGGCTTCCCCTCCCCTGTGAAGGGTGCGTGTTGCAGAGCCGGCAGGCCAGGGCTGGCAGGGATGGGTGCGTACTGCCGTGCTTGCCTTCGTGCACTGCCCACACGAGCCGTGTTTCTGCCACGTGGCTGTCCTGTGGCCTTTCACTGCTACCAAGGCGGGTGCCGTGACAGTGGTTTTATCCATTCTTCACAGAGTGTAACTGTACTGAGAATGGCGTGTGCAACGGCGGACTGCATGGCGACGGCTTCTGCTTCTGTGCCGAGGGCTGGGCTGGAGACCGCTGTGAAATCAGACTAGGTGAGGGATGCTGAGCCCCACCACCCACTATTCCCTGGGACCCGGTGCCATATGGCCTCTTTCCCAGTAGCTGCATTGTTGAAGCAGCCAGTCAGAAATATCTCCAAAAAGGAGCTCTCAGCTGCAGGGCTCATCCTGAGATCTGGCCCTTGCTGTTGAATTTCACAAGGGTTGGGGTGGTGAGGAGGAGGAGGAAAGCACCACTTGATCATGAACAAGTCCCTGAGCTCAGAGATGCTCCACGAAGAGCTTGAGGGTGAGGTGAAGGCCTGAGGTGTATCTGATGGAGTAATGGTCCTCTGTATCTGGGCAAGGCATCTGCAGAAAAGCACAGTGGGAGAGAGGGGCGAGCGTGGGGCAGAGGCCGGCCGTGGCAGCCATGCCTGTGTTGCAGCCCTTAGATCATTCCTGACCTGTGTGTGTTCTGGTTTCAGTCATGACGCCCACCTGCTCTCCACCGTGCCACCCCCAGGCCATCTGCCGCTCCAACAACCTCTGTGAATGCAACCTGCACTACGAAGGAGATGGGAGAACGTGCTCAGGTAGTGGGGGAGCCACGAGGGGCTTGGGTGGCGGGCAAAGGGGAAAGCAGACAACATAGCAAGACAACAGGTGACCATCTCCTGATGGCCATGTTGGTGTGACAGCTGGCAGGACAGACGGACAGACCACCAGGACACCTAGCAAGGTGTTTTAGTTAACCTAACGCTTTTACCCCTGCAGTGATCGACATGTGCAGCCAGGACAACGGGGGGTGCGCCAGGCATGCACAGTGCACGCAGGTTGGCGTGAATGTCTCCTGTGCCTGTGTTTCTGGGTACGGAGGTGACGGCTACGTCTGCGACCCCATAGACAGGTGTGTGGACGGCAGGAACGGGGACTGCAGCCAGCACGCCAACTGCATCAGCACTGGGCCGGTAAGTACACCCGCTAGGTCTGGGGAGATCTGCATGCCTGGGAGAACAGTGCAGGTGGATGCTGTGGGATGCTTCAGGCTGCTGGAGGACAGTGACGTGACAGTGTCCCCTGTTACTGCAGTCCCCAGGCCCGGCCCTCCTCTCCAGTCCTCTCAGCTATTGCGCTCATCCTGCAGGTCCTTACTGCCAGGCAGGAGCCATGCCCTTGGTCTGCTGCCATGCCCTCAGTCTGCTGCCTGGCTCTGGTGATGGTCCTGGTGATGTTTATACTAAGGCCATTTTTCCCCATCCCTCTGTCTAAGGGGCATAAGCTGTGTCAGTTGCGGCATTTCTGGACTGTTTTGGGGGGCTCTGGGATGGTCCTTTGAGGACAATGCCGGCCATTTTTGCAGAGGAACCAGAGCTGCTCACTGCAGGCCAGAAGATGGGACCGGGAGCATGACTTAGTCCAAGAATCACAAGCCACATACCTCAAAACTCAGCTGTCTTACAAACAGCATGTGACAAGGATTCAATGTGACATTTTTTGGTTCGCGTGCAGTTGGATGTGGGGTAGGACAGAGGCCATCCAGCCTTTCATAGCTCTGTCATAGTCCTGGCAGGCTGTAGAGGCGTTCTGAAGGCTCATCTCCACCTTCACATGGATACAAGGATCCCCAGTTGGCATCTGTGTGTTTGCACTCAGACAAATGCCATCCTTCCTTTGTGCTGCAGAATGAGCGGCGCTGCGAGTGCAAGCAGGGCTATGTTGGTGACGGGATCCAGTGCCTGGAAGAGGCCGTGCCCCCCACGGACCGGTGCCTGGAAGACAACGGGCAGTGCCATCGGGAGGCCATTTGCACCGACCTGCACTTTCATGGTGAGTGTGCGCAGCCCTGCAGTGCCGGGGATGATGTTCCATGGAGAAGTCACGCTCCCTCATCCTGCACCTTCTGGCTAGGGTACCCCTCGGGAGAGCTGGATGGTGGGACAGCCAAGGGGCCGGGGACTCATGTCTGTAGCTTTGTCTGGTTTTCACATTCCCCTTTTCCCCTACATGTCATACGGGGAGGACGAGCCGTCCTTGTCTGCTCCTGTGTGATGCATAAGATGGCCTCTGGTGGGTTTACACTGCCAGTAAGCACTGACTACCTTGTGGAGGCTGAGAAGCTCAGAGGAAGCCATGCTGCATCCCACCTCCTCCTCACTTGAGCGTTGTCCACATCCCACCCTCCCATGCAGCACAGAGCACCCTCCATTGGCGGTGCTGTCTGTGCTCACGCGGGGGACCCATGCGACTGCCCCAGGGAGGCTGCTCGCTCTCCATCCTGTACTGATGCTCCCTGGCCTTGGTATCTTGCAGATAAGACTATGGGCGTATTTCATCTGCAGTCACCCCGAAAAAAGTACGACTTCACTTACGAGCAAGCTCAGAAGGCCTGTGCTGCAGAAGGTGCTTCCCTGGCCAGTTTACAGCAGCTCTCGGCAGCACAGCAGGTCAGGGCAGGGATGCAGAGCTCCATCGCCTCGTGGGGTGGGGACACGCAGTGCTTCTCCCTGGGGCTGGTCCAGCAGTAGCGAGCCCATGACACGTGGGTGGGTCACCTCTCATTCCCTCGGCCAGGCCCTGTTTGCTCCATCTACATCCATGAAACCAGGAGGGCCAGTGGCTCTTACCAGTCACATTGGGGCGAGAGCTCTGGCAATGCCCAACTCTTTAGGTGTTGGGGGCATGTCGGATAAGGCTGCATGATGGGAGTGTGCATCAGGGTGGAAAACCTGGGCCAAGGATACTATTTTTAATCTAATCATTCATTTTCCTCTGCTAGATGGGATTCCATCTGTGCTTGGTGGGTTGGCTGGACAATGGCACAGCCGGATACCCCACAGCCTACCCCAACCCCAGCTGTGGGGCTAACCGAGTGGGCATCGTGGACTATGGCTCCCGAAGCAACCTGAGTGAGAACTGGGATGCATTCTGCTACCGGGAGAAGGGTAAGTAAGTGGTGCGAGCACATTTCCTGGGGTCGGTCCTGTTGGGCACAAGAGGCGTGTTGGGGCAGCAGGCAGAGAACTGCCCTCGGAGCACGAGGGGTGGGCAGGTGGGCACATCCCCCTCTCCCTATGCCTGTGCCAGGAGGGAACGTGATGAGTGGTATCCAGAAGTCAAGGGAGAGGTGGTCAAGTGTAGCCAGCATAGGCGAGTCAAGTCAAGTCACATCTTGGTGTTCCTTTGCAGATCTGACTTGCACCTGCCGTGATGGGTTCGTGGGAGATGGGTACTGGTGCAGCGGCAAACTCCCTGATGTGCTCGCAGACGACGCTCGCTTCTCCACCTTCTATTCTGTAAGCAATGCTCTCCTGGTTCTCTGGTACACCAGCAGCCAGCAATTAGGCAGAGGGAGGGATTGGCCATAACAGGGAGAAGTGGTGGTTTGGTCTGCATGCGGCGTAGAGAATACAAGCACAGAGGCATTTTCTTTCCAGGGCTGGGGAAGGTAACAGCACTGAGCTGCCGGCAGTGTGCTGATGGGGAAGATCTCCCATCTTTTTCAGATGTTGCTCGATTTTGCCAATGACACAGAAGAAGGACTGGATTTTTTCATCTATTTGTCTGATGACTCCGCTCCCAAAACTCTCTTTGTCCCTCTGAATTCTGGCTTCGCAGACAATGAAGTAAGCAAGCAGGGATGAGTGGCCGCTCGAGGGCGCATGGAACGAACTATCAGAGCCCCAGAGGAGAGCAGGAGCCCGCCAAAGCTGGCATGATGGTGATGTGAAATAGAGTCTGGGGAAGGAGGAGGAATTTAGGTCAGAGGGGACCGCTGGTGGTCTCTAGTCCAGCCCCTCACTCAGAAGAGCCATTTAGGTCAGGTTGCTCTGCGCCTTCTCCAGTTGAGCTTTGACTGTTTCTAAGGATGGCGATCCCCCCTTCTCTGCACAGTAGTTTTGTGCCATGTTGCCCATGAATTGAGCTGTCTTGTGGCCATGGAGAGGGGCTGCACACAGCAGGAGGGAAGGGGTGAGAGCCAGCTCAGCTGCTTCTCACCCCTGCTCCCTGTTGCTTTTTCAGACGCTGACAGGAGAAGAACTGAAGCTCCACGTGTCCTCCAGCAACGTTGTCCTCTTCAGCTTCAACCTCACAACGGGGACCATCATCCCGTCCCAGTCAGGATATGACCTCCATATATCAGACCTCCCAGTGGGCAACAGTACAGAGCACTCAGTAGGTTTAACCTCGGCTGAGGTCAAAAAAAACCCCCGCAAGTTTTCACCACGTCTCTTTTGAGACTGGGAACAACAGCGAGGCTTTCCAGTTGGGTGACATCATCTCTGTCCTGTGCTGTAGGATGCCAAGGGGATCAATGACACGATGATTGTGGAGTGGGACATCATAGCTTTCAACGGCATCATTCACGCCATTGCAGAGCCGCTGAGGATCCCACCGCCCATCGTTCATCTTGGTCAGGTGAGCGTCCGAGGGCACGGATTGGGGAAGAAAGCTGCTGAACCAGCTGGCGCCAGGCCTGGGAGCAGGGACGGAGCGACCGAGTCAGCCCAAGGACCGGCCCCGTCCTCCCTGCTCCCCCGGCACGGCTCGTTTTGGCCGGGCTGCCCACGCTCAGCAGGGTGGCCGTGCGGGAGAGCCCGTCGCTCTGCCGTAACCGGGCCCCTGTTTTTCGACGCAGGTGAACGGCGCGGCGCCTGCGGCGGCCTCCGTGGCCGCAGGGACGCTGTCAGCGCTGTGCTTCGCGCTGGCGCTGGCTGCCGGTGCCGGCGTCGCCTACTACTGCGTGAAGAGGCGGCGGCGGGAGGAGCAGTTCGGGTATTTCCAGGTGAGCGCAGGCGGCAGCGGCCTCTCTGCGGCCGGGGCAGGTGGAGGGAGCCCGGGGGAGCGCGGGTCCGCCCCGCCCACTCGGAGCCAACCCCGCCCCGCGCCCCGCCCCTTCCAGGCGGACCTCTGCGCGGAGGAGGAGGAGGAGGCGGGGCCTCACGCCGCCAGGCCCCGCCCCCAGCGGCCGCTCGTCGCCATCCCCAACCCGCTCTACGGCGGCCACGCCCCTGACTACGAGCCGCTGCAGGTGAGCCCCGCCCCC